AATCCTATTTGGTCATGGTACAAAATCCATTTAATATGCTACTGAATTCAGTTTGCCAGTATTTTATTGAGGATTTTTGCATCAGTGTTCACAAGAGATATTGGTTTGTAGTTTTCTTTTTTGTTGTTGTTTTTGTTTTGTTTGTTTTGTTTTGTTTGAGACAGAGTCTCGCTGTGTCACCCAGGCTGGAGTGCAGTGATGTAATCTCAGCTCACTGCAACCTCCACCTCCCTGGTTCAAGCAATTCCCTTGTCTCAGCCTCCCAAGTAGCTGGGATTACAGGCACATGCCACCACACCTGGCTAGTTTTTTTGTATTTTTCATAGAGACAGCATTTCACCATGTTGGCCAGACTTGTCTCAAACTCCTGACCTCAGGCAATCCACCCACCTCAGCTTCCCAAAGTGCTGGGATTACAGGCGCAAGCCACCGCACCTGGCTGTAGTTTTCTTTACTTGTAGTGTTTCTATCTGGCTTTGGTATAAAGGTAATTCTTGAATGAAGTAGGAATTGTTCCCTTCTTTTCAGTATTTTGAGAGTGTTTGAGAAGGATTTCTGTTAATTCATCTTTCAATATTTGGTAAAATTTACCAAGGGATCCATCAGATCTCTGGGCTTTTCTTTGTTAGACGGTTTTGCCTTACAGATTGTGTCTCCTTACTAGCGATAGGTCTGTTCAGACTTTTTATTTCTTTATGATTCAGTCTTGGTAGATTTTGTATTTCTAGGAATTTGTCCACTTCTTTTAGATTACCCAATTCTAATTGGTATACAACTCTTCGTAGTATTCTCTTATAATTCTTTTTATTTCTGTAAAATTGGTAGTGATGTCCCAACTTTTGCTACTGATTTTAATAATTGAGGTTATCTTTTTTTCTTAATCTAGCTAAAGAGTGATCAATTTTGTTGAACCTTTTAAAGAACTAACTTTTGGTTTTCTTGATTTTCTTTATTGTTTTTCTATTCTCTATTTTATTTCTACTCAAATTACTATTATTTCCTTTCTCCTACAAGCTTTGTGTTTAGTTTGTTCTACTTTTTATAGTTTCTTAAGGTGTAAAGTTAGATTATTGATTTGAGATCATATTTTTCAATGTAAGCATTTATAGCTATAGATTTTTTTAGCAGAGCATTGCTTTGCTGCACCTGTTAGTTTTTGCTATGTTGTTTTTTCATTTTTATTTGTCTCAAGATATTTTATAATTCCCCTTATGATTTCTTCTTTGACCCACTGGTTAAGAGTGTGTTGTTTAAGCCTGGGCAACATAGCAAGATTTCATCTCTACTTTAAAAAAAAAAAAAAAAAAAAAACCGGGCATGATGGCACACACCCATAGTCCCAGCTACCTGAGAAGCTGACATAGGATGATCCCTTGAGCCCAGGAGTTTCAGGTTGCAGTGAGCTATGATTGCACCATGATACTCCTGCCTGGGCAACAGAACAAGACCCCGTCTCAAAAGAAACAAATTTTTTAAAAATAATAATAAAGAGGATGTAGTTTAATTTCCACATATTTGTGAATTTTACAGAGTTCCCTCTGCTATTCATTTCTAGTTTCATCTCACTGTGATCGAAAAAGATACTTTCTATAATTTCAGTCTTTTGAAATGTTTTAGGATCTCTTTTGTGGCCTAATGTATGGTCTATCCTGGAGAATGTTGCAAGTGTGCTTAAGAAAAACATATTTTCTGCTGTGGTTGAGTAGATGTACTCTGTATATGTCTGTTACGTCTGGATGGTCTCTACTCTTGTTGAAGTCCTCTATTTCCTTATTAATCTTCTTTTTGGTTGAACAACCTGATTTTTAAAAACATGAAAACTAAAACAGATACTAAGATACATGAAGTAATCTGTTCTAAATCAGGCCATGTCCATCATGACACCAAATAATCTTCTTATATCAAAATATATATTTGAACTTTTAAAGCAACTTTTTCAAGAGCTGTCATATGTAGTAATACAGGTTCTGCACTACTCAACATAAATGTGTACAAATGCTTTAACTTCCAGCCGGCAGTAGCCACTGTTTTATAGCTGTGAAGTAATTGAAAAACAGAATGAGATTCCCCTCCCAAAACACAACCTGTATCCTTTCAGAGGTTTTTGTTTGTTTGTTTGTTTGTTTGTTTGTTTTTGTGCCCCCTCTCCCGTGAATGCATGAAATGCAAATGAAACCCAACAGGTGTTTTCTCTCAGTCCACAGGGCATCTGGGAGGCCTTAGGACAGTGGGTGATGTAGGAAGAGGACTCCTGAATCAGTCTGGCATCTCTATTAACTAGAGATCAAATAGATAGGCCTGAAAGGCTCACAGCAAAAATCAGATACCAGCCACAATGTTTCCCACTCAAGACCTCAGACAGAAAGAAAAGCTGCAGATCAGGCACACACTATAGACCTGTACTGCAGTGCCTTGATTAGTCACTCCCCCCAGCAGAAGCACTGACTTCATGTATGCCTTGCTTTCTCTCAGTGTCTTATTAAGAGCCTGGCTGAAGCCCTCGGGAGGTCAACACCCCATCTTCCACCTTGCACCACCTTTGTTTAAGATCTCATCTTGTTAATAGTGTAGAGATCATTTGATGTGCATACCAGTCCATTATCTGCCCATGATCTACTTCCCCTTTCCCTAATTGATATCTGAGAAAAGCTGATTTTGTGCCTGCTTGATTCAGACACGAGGTCCATTCTGCCCTCATTGTGTTCCAACTTAGAGATGAAAAGTCCATGTAGACCTACTGTGTACATGAGTTGGTTTAGATTTCTGATGAAGTATACAATGCAAGCAATAGACTGTGAACCCAACATTTATTGCATTCCATGGAAAATGCAGTGACTACGCTGGTTCACTGCTGATAGAATATTCCACAAGGACAATTACTTCTTGCTTTTATCTAATGACAAGAATCATTTAACTCATTAAATTTTTTTTTTCACTCTGGCTTCTTGGAAGCTCAGTTAATATTAGCTTAGGGTTGTGGTGTCACTTTTTTTTCTTATTCTCTATCAATCATTTACTGAGATATGTTTCTTTATGATTATCTGGTTCAAGTCTTTTTTCCAAGTTTATCATTCAGAATAAGCTTAATGGGGACTATTGGCCTCAGAATGATCACATGATTGTCACAGCCATTGGACCACATATGTAACAGCATCACCAAATTGTTGAGTCCCTTGTATTGCACTAACCCCAAAAGTCTGAGACATGTATAAATCCAGAGTTTTTGTTGAGAACTTAGACTTGGCTTCTTTAATATTATCAAAGCACCCCTATACATATATTTATAAAAGCTGAAAATAATTGATTCTCATCCATTTTCAAAGATTTAGAAAGAGCCTTGAATCTGGAGTTGGTTATTTCCATTTAAAAGTCTCTGTCTTGGGAAATTACTGTTCTTTTACTGCTAGCTACCATACAAATTCCTAATCGAAAAACCTTTACAAGCAGTGATGGCATGAATTGAACTTACTTCTGTCCTATTAGGAACATGTCTTGGTCAGGAAAGAAATGCATGTTGGATTCTTAATGATTTGTGTTTTATGTGTTCTGTGCTAAAGGGCTATTTCAGTCCCCAAGATACTAATAAGCAGTCCCTGATCCAGGTCATTTGTATTTTTTTATCAGCAAAAACAGCACCCAAGCCATACCTCAATTTAGAACATCTCTAAATTCAATTCTGTTCAATTCAATACAATTTATCAAATATCAACTGTGCTAGGCATTTTCTGTTCCTGGAAGTACAGCAATGAATCGATCTCAGTCCCTACCCTCATGAATGCCACAAAAGAGAAAGGCTGACAAGTAGCTCAACAAGGCACACAGAGGAGGAGCTTCTTTCTGGCCACCAGTTGGGAGAGGACAGGATGGGTTTCTCAAAGGAGATGGCTCAAACAAGCATCACAGAATTGTCAGCCTAGAAGGATGATTGAGGTCTAGACCCAGATATAGTTCAGAGAACACAAGAGGTTCAAGAGAGAAGGAGGTGGAGGCCCTCAGCATTCCCAGGGGCTAGTCTGGGGCAACCCAAGGTGGGCATTCAATAAGTGTTTAGTGAATTGAACAACTGAGTATAAAGAAATCAGAAAAGACCACAACAATATCAAAAGCGAATGGAGTCATCGCTGCTTATTCATCAGGGTCACTGAACTCAGGCTACAGACTGCCTGGGACACAGGATTCATGTACTGACTTGACTTTGAGGTAATTCTTAGTATAAAGCAACCCTCCATTTTTCCAATGAAAGGAGAATATATAAAACAATTTTGAAGCCAACTTAAGTATATGAACTTTTGGAACTGGAGATGAAAAGGCTAAATGTTAACGTATACTATTTGACACATTAACTGAGTCACAAATACGAATCAAATAATATGTGGATTGAAAAAGTTTACTTCTTTCCTTCATCATCATTTTTCAGTCTTCTAGAAGGCATAGTTGGGGAGCACCGCCTCTGTCCTCCGCTGCCTGTTGAAGACGCAGCACTGCTCTGAACAGGTGTGTGAGGCGTTTACTAAAGACAATACCTAACCCAGGTTCTTTCTTGCCATTTATGATCTTCAGAACTACTCACTATGTTGCTTTAAGAGGCTGATTTGTAAGATCCAAAACTTAATTGTGAACTCATACTTCCAGGAATGCTTCTTAAACTGAATTAAATTTCTGTACTTCCTTTTTTGTTTCCATCTTGTCCTTCTTTGTTTCACTGGTTCTGTCAGTAAATCTCCATAATCAGCCCAAACTTGCAATGATTTAGGTCATTTCAAATATGTAGGCCTTCCCAAACAGAATTTTGTTATTTAAAAAATACAGTAATTAATAGAGCACCTCAAAATTTGGCAGGCAGGTCTGCTAAAAGGTGACTCTTATTCCTAGGAGTCTGTATGGGGAAGAATCTCTCTATAATCATCCATGACAAATATGGAAGTAATTCACATAAGCTGGTGAAAGACTTATTTCTCTCTAAAAATAAGGTTATACTAGAAAAGATTGGCTGGACTGACCTTGGTACTCCAGAACCTGGAAGCTGGTTATCACACACCAAGTTTCTGAAGGCTGCCAAAGTGCCAGCCATTTCATCCTCTAAGAACCCTAGACCAGAAGGATCCTTGATAGGTCTGATCATCTGTCCTTTTGGCAAGGAAGGCATCTCTCACAGCCAGAGATTTTCTAAAAGAAAGTTCATAGTGCTCCTGGGTAACCAAGACTGTGAGGTTCTTTCCTTTGGACTTGTTTTCTGAATGATGGAGGTAATACTTAGTATTTGTAAAACTCTGCAGTTTACAAAGCACTTCCACAGCCTCTCTCTCCCCTACTCCCAGCACAGTCCTTGGAGTTAAGAGTAGAACCTACTTGGGCTTCAAGTGACGTGCCCCCACCCAGCAGGCAGAATGGCCCCTGTGTCTCCCCTCCTGGGGCAGGAGAGACACCCACAAGCTGAGTCCTCAGGGAAGGTCAATGCTGCGGGAAGGTCAATGCTGTAAGAAGGCCCTGCAGAAGGCCTTGGCAAAGGAGTGGATGGAAACAGACAAAGGAGCTTCCTGAGCCGGGATCCCGGGAGTCCTCCAGGTCGGGTGGAGAAAGGAGACCCTGAGACCAGGAGAGAGAGGAAGAGGGTCTGCAGGCAGAAAGTCGGGGAGAAGCAGGGAGGGCGCAATTCTGGAAGGACTTGGTATGTCATTTATCTTGTGGGGACATAAATAGGGAGTCCTTGAAGGGTTTTCAGCTGGGGAGATATTTGATCAGATTTCCATCATAGACAGTTCATTTTAATTACAAACTAAAGAGGGGGGACCAGGAGGCCAGATAGGAGGCTGCACCTGATGGGGTCCTCAACTCAGGGATGGGCAGATGGGAATGAAGAGGAGTCCACTCTCCCAAAGCCCTGCAGGGCCCCCAGTGTGGCCCCCTGCCACCCCATATCTGATCCTAAATCCTAAACTGTGTCAGCTCAGATCAAGCTGCTGCTCCCAAAACACAGCAGTGAGTTACTCTCCTCTCTAAGGCGATCTTCATCATATTATTAGATGCTCTCATAGTCTGTCTTCCCCAGGAAAAACTCCTTCCTTTTTCAAAAGCGCTGAGCATCTCCCAGAGACAGCGTGTAAAGGAGCATGCCACGTGATGCCCTAAGTGTTGCAGGAGTGATGGCCCAGGTCCCGTGCCCTGCGATGGGAAGGGCGACTGAGAAGCTGGGCCACTTCTGAGCCCTTGGGGTCCTCACCTGGTGGACTTTCTCTGAGCCAGTCAAGCCAGTCCAACCCTTAGAGCAGAGAATGCTACCCACACATGTCCTCAGGGTATTGAGCCGTGTTTTGTAAATCACCTAGAAAGGCATTGCTGGGCTTGAAAGCACAATTTATTGCTACATTATTCAATGGTCCCAGCAGCAAGCTACGTTCTTTTTATTGATAGAGTAAAAATGAAGCAACCTAATGGGTGGGACCCTGGAAAATAGGACAGAAGCCGCGGTTCCAGTCTCTCCCCACCCCAGACACACAGAAAAAGCCCTTTTCCTGCTCCCCCTGAACCCCGCAGGCCAAGGAACCAATTCTACATTGAAATCCTTAGAGAAAGCTACTGTGTGTAAAAGATGAGATATTTTTAAAGGGCATCCATTTCTGCTAGAAATTTTTTGCGGAATGAAGCCAGGAAACAAGCAATCAAAAGCAGAAAAAGGAAGTGTCCACTGGGATCCCAGAACCTCAGAAGGGTTTGGACAGACATTCCCTCTACCTTCTGCCTTCCTCCAACCAGCCCCTTGCCCCCAGGTCCTTCCCTTTCTGCCTCCTTTTCAGCTTCGGGAGGAACCCCCACATATAGAGACCCTATATTATGAGCTGGGCCATGCCCTCCTTTCTTGTACACAATTCAGGAAAATCCTGAGGAATGAAGCCGCTAAAACCTGCTTCTGTCTCAGACTTCTCTGCAAATCCTGGAACGGCTTCGACTTGGCCCTTCCTTTTTTCCAACAAAGTGGCCTCTATTGCATAGGCCTTTAAGCCAATAATATTAAGCACACATTCTGCACAGGTAATTAATGGCCAGTATTTTTCCTCATACTTTGAGCTGATTTTTAAAAATATTATCCTGTCAAAAGCATTTATTTTATATCTCTAAGGAAGAAAAAAATAATTTACTCTGTAGCTTGTAGCTTTTATTGTATTCTTTCTCTGTCATGCTACTCTATTCAAACCAACTTCCTCCAATAAAATTTCCTTCAATCCCAGGGCATTGAAAAGCTCCAGAGGGAGAGTGGGATGGGGAGGGCAAAACTGCAAGCAAAGCTAGGGTTCAGAATGGCCGATCATATTTCTAGAGAAACGTTTCTGTTCATAAAGTGCTCTAACGGACACACTGTGTCACTGATACTCACTCACTCAAATCCATGAAAACTGGGTGAGGTCACGTGACTCGCCCGGAGGCATGCCGCTCCCGGAATGACCTCTGCATCCTCTAGAGCTCCACAGAACTTGCTTCCCACCCTCACTGCCATCTTCGCCCAAGTATTGAGATACCTCCCACCTCTGTCTGGAGGGTCCCCTTCCCTCTGGTGCACTCTGCCCACTCAGGTGTCCTACACGTGCCTTGCCAGGTGGCTGCCAGAGGTGCCACTGCCTCAGGTTGAGACCCGAGTCCCTTTGTCTGGGATATCATGACCACGGCCTCCTGCCTCCTCCGGCCAGCCCACCTCAGCCCTGCCTCAGACACACCCAGGCCAGCCGCAGCCACACCTGCAAGCTTTGGCCTGTGACTGTCTCTTCTGGAGTTGCTTTTCCCCTCCTGGACCAAGCCTTAGTGCACAGGTTCTCTCTTCTCTACACTCTGCTCACCATCCTGTAAATATGTGTGTTGAAAATATATGTCTGTCTTCCTTGCTGATTTTTCAGTTCCTCTAGGGAATGATGTTTGTGTCCTTAGTGCCTGGCACTTAGTAGGTGTTCAATAAACATTTATAAGAGGAAAGAATTGAGAGAGGGATGGAGAGAGGAAGAAAAAGTGGGGAGGATCTGAGTCTGGGCCTTCGCAGGTCACTGGAACACAGCTCCCAATGCACCCCTCTACGGGTGGGCACGCCGGTGTGTTCTCTCTGGGGTCTCTCCTTGGGAAACTCTCCCACCACAGGCGTTCTTTCTGCTTTCCTCTCTACCAGGTAGGCAGAGTCCCGTTTAAGCAGACTCCCAGCTCTCTTACCAGAAAAGGGCTGCAGGTCTCAATGTTCACAAATGCAAATATTGGTGCCACCTTGTGTGATGACGAACACCCCACGCCAGCACCACCTCTACTTGTGCCACCTACCCCAACACCTGCTGCAAAGCATGTCTTGTGCTTCTTAGTTTCATTTACCCTGGTCCCAGGGTGAGGCAGTATGAGTGTCACCATTTCTCGTATCTGGGCCCCCTTCCGAGTCCTCGAAGCATGAATAACTCCGAATGTGGGTGAGTGGACAGTAGTTCTCATTAGAATTCACACTTGATTATAGACCCCAGGGATGCAGACTCACTCTCCCAGGGATGCACTCATTACACATTCCCCTAAATAGGCCAGTAACTGTCAATATTGGTGATGCTCGAGGATGCTTTGTGGCATGTGGGCCATCGAATTCACATGCATGGCAGACTACAAAGGCACCTTAGGGACATCTGGGAAGGAGGAACAGCTAAATTTCCGTCTCAGAGGCTTTGGCCAGCATGGTCGGGGGCGAGGCTGGGTGAAGGAACTGTCCTTCCCACAAATAGGGGCAGAATGAAGTGCCCAGGGGACCAGCCTGAACCCATCGTGCCTGTTCACCCTACAAGTGCCTGCCTGTTGTCCTAGAAATCATCAGGCAGCGTATTGAGGTACGGCATCTGCGGTCCTTAACAGATACCTACAGGTGGAAAGAGTCCCTTTTCAAGAGGTTTATTCGTGTCCAGACTCCACCTTGTGTACAAGACGTGCTGACACCAGGAGGTTCCGTAGGTTTGCTCGGTTGTTTGGCTGGCCACTGTGCCTCTGGGCTTTCATGCAGACAGCACGACCTATGCCCACACTGTAACCATCTAAAAAGGCTTCTTTAAGTTACCAGGTTTCACAATTGGCCTAAAATGTTTCGATGCATAGAAGAAAAAGTGTAAGGACTTCAAAGTAAGAAAAATGTGGGTATAAATCCTACTTCTGTTATCTGTTAGAAATGTGTCCACCAGTGAAGTGAGTGAGGGGCCAGGAAACAGAGACCCATGGACCGCATCCGGCCCACCTCCTATTTTTTCATCTGTTTAAGTATTTATGGCTGTGTTCTCTCAACAACAGCCAAGCCAAATGCTTGTGACAGAGACCCACATGGCCGACAAAGCCCAAAATATATATCTGGGCCTCTACAGAAAAAGTGTGCCCCCTCTGGGTAAGATTATTTCACTTCTCTAACCCTCAGTTTTTTCATCCGTAAAATGGGCAAAATATTTACATTGAAGAAGTAGTGCTGTGAGAAATAAATGAGAAAAAAGTCAGACACATAGCAATGCGTGCTTGCTACATGCTGGGATTCTTTTTTTTTTTTTTTTTTTTGAGAAGGAGTCTCGCTCACCCTTGTTGCACAGGCTGCAGTGCAATGGCCTGATCCCAGCTCACTACAACCTCTGCCTCCCAGATTCAAGTGATGCTCCTGCCTCAGCCTCCCCAGTAGCTGAGATTACAGGCATGTGCCATCACACCAGGCTCATTTTTGTATTTTTAGTAGAGACGGGGTTTCTCCGTGTTGGCCAGACTGATCTCGAACCCCTGACCTCAAGTGATCCGCCTGCCTCGGCCTCCCAAAGCATGCTGGGATCTTTAAATGCGGATTAACCTTGCTGTTTTCTAGCCATGTCATTCGTGGACAGGTAAGAAAGGGATACAGCTTGTCTTCCTGTCTCCATCTGTGTTTCCCTTTTCATTTCTCACCCGCCCCTGAAAGTAGAAAAGCTACAAAAAACAAACAAACAAAAAAATCATGCAGTATCTTTTTTTTTAAGTGGGATGGAAAACAAACTTACTCTAAACAAAAGTTTAATTCTTTTGAGCATCTCAGGTTACTTATTTTATCATCGTTTTATTTTTAGTGTAAAATTAATCATGCAATATGTAGTACTGAACAAAGAAGAGGGTCTTCTTGCTTTCTCCCATTTACAG